TTCAATTGGCAGCGGAGTTTGGCGCAACTGCAAAAACGAATACATGTGCATCTTCTAGTTCTATTGCTAGAATGAGAGTCAGGCATGGTGGATCGATCGAACAAGGACATGTACAAGTGAAACGATCAACGGTCAAAGTTAAAAATACCACTGCACAATCATGACAAAAAAACACGGGCGACGCACGACGGGTGACGGACGACGGGCGACGGACGACGGGCAACGGGCGACGGACGACGGGCGACGCACGACGGACGACGCACGACGGGCGACGCACGACGGACGACGCACGACGGGCGACGGCAGATATGGAATTCCATAGGGGGGGGCGACCAGCTTTCAGTGGCTTTTAGGAGCAAGATTTCGTTAGCCTTATTCAATATCCATTCATCCGTTTTTTCGGTGGGGGGTGTCACAGCTACCCCCCCCAAGTCACTGTAGCAAGAATTTTTGCGGGTTAGTGTTTGCCCCCCAGACAACTTCGACACAAAAGATTCAAATATAAATCTTCTCTTAAATTTAAATAAATTTATTATGACGTATAACTTACAACTAAATTCTATGGTACAACAAAACACACCAAATTAATTATCTGTTAGTATCTACAAATATTTACAAAAGTTAATAATGGAGCATTTCACGTAAGACCGAATTATGTCTATAATAGTCCGCGTTCGGAACACGAAGCAAGGTGTATAACTGAAAGAAGTTTAAATGGCTTCTGCATTGACTTCTTGGTTGTAACGAAATAAAGAAAATTATAATCAATTAGTTTGTTTAATCCTTCGCTGCAATTTCTTCTTACTTGTAAAGAAATAAAGAAAATTATAATCATTTATTTTGTTTAATCCTTCGCTTATTAATTATTGAAACCTCACTAAGCCGGCAATCAGATTGAGAAAAAACCTCATTTATGTAGGGCCCACCGCGAGTAAGATACGCTTTCCGCGTCAAAGGCCGTCCCTTTGCCCGAACCGTCGGCCTGAACCTTGCGCCAGAACCTCTGAATAGGTAGCCGGAAAAGTGTCGGCGACGTCACGCTTGGCTAGGTCCTTAGTGGCGGTGACAGTCGGTGTTCCGGCTCGCCTACAGCCAGCCTCCGGCCTGTCTGCCCCAGGCAGTCGGTAGGGCAATGGAGATCACAATTCGGCACTTTAATCACTAGGGCTAATGGCTCATGCAGCCCTGGATGCCATATGAAATATGTAACGTACATTCGGATAATAATTCAAAAGCCTAGATTAATGCCGATTGAGGTAGTGATAACATTAAATACAAACAATTGCATGTATACCAATCGCCTAAAGACATCGCCCCAAAGCTACTGGATCATACCACAAATTTAGTCCACTTAGTCATTATGTAATAAAGAAATATTTATAATATCCCCATAAATCAGTTCCTGATTGGAAACAGTGCATCCTCTGTGGTCACTTACATCGACTGGAAGTGGTACATGTACTCAAGATCAAATTTAGAACACAGGAAATAACAGAAAATTTCATAAAATCAGAACCTCAAACTTACGGTATGTTGGCAGATCGGATGCCTGGCTCTCTCGGAGACCATCACCGTACCGAGACTTGGTTTTCCCGTGGAAAATTTTAGAAATTTTGCTTATAGCAAAAATACTGCAGCCTTTATGTCCAGGCGATCAGTGGCAAAAAGCGCTTTTTCAAAATTTGCAGGGTGCAAGTCACACGTCGAAGGCATTAGAAAAAAAAAACAGTGTCGCGTAAAATAATAAAGAGACGAGACTTAACCTATGTATTATTTATTTACACGACAGGGCACTACAGGTACGAACGGTACACGCAAAGTACAACACACGGACGTTGACAAACACAAATCAAACCTGCTAGAGACACTGCGTCCATATTATAGTCCATATATAGGAACATCTAACCACCTTTGTTCAAGACGGCTCTGTTAAGCTCATTTTTAATTAAGTGTCCTTTGAGGCATTTTAATTGGGGCAGAGTCAATATTGAACAGTAACAGTGGCGTAGCCACCGGGAGGCCTGGGGGCACGTGCCTCCCCACAAATGCTTCATGAAGCATGAAGTGGGGTTCTTGATTGCTGGGGCAACGCTGACGGGGTGGGGGCACCGGGGAATTTGTTATAGAGATTATAATGAATGATTAAGTTTATTGAATGTAACCCTTTCTGTCCGAAGTTTGTTCACTGTCTTCCGGAGAGTGACATCACGGTAATGTTTCCAGGAGAGCTCTTTCTCGAAATTGACTTGGAGTTCATGCACGCTGGCATACGGCGTCACCTGTCGTCAAGGATGATATAGAACAAGCCAAACTGTGATCCTACACAAACAGGGCTCACTGCATCTTCTCCATAAATGTCGTGTATCTCTTCCGCCATGCCTTCCATTGATACCAGAACCCCCATAATGTAATTGTCATTCATATCATCATTATTGTTTACTCTCATCAATATCGCCTTCGACGATTTCGTCAATCATTATCATCGTCAATCATATTCGTCATCGAAGTCGCCGTAACCTTCCACATGCCCAGCACACCCTCCCTTCAAAAAATCTTATCTTTTCTTTTCCACACCCGTGTAAATGATAAAAAATACCTACCGTAAGTCTGATTTGATGTATGAGATGCTCCGGCGCGTGCTCCAGAAAGAACTGCTTGGAGAGAACCACGCATTCCGCTCCATTACTGACAAGACTCACACTGGGTTGATCAGTGAACATAAGCTCAGCTAATCCCTGTGTTGGTCAAAGTAAGTTACAATTCGTTTGTCAGTTTTCTAAATGACAACTTGATAAAATGGAAAAATACCGATATAAATGTTAGACGTACAGTCGACTCTCACTTACGAAAGCACCCCCTTTGACAAGTATCTGGACGCAGACAAATACTGGGGATGCACTTGAATCGTCGCTCAAAACCGTATTAACCTGAAAAGATTGAAAATTGTTGCTTTTAGAAACAAAAATGTCATTTTTTTAAAACGACCAATTTCTTTCTTTGACGAGAAGTTGCAAGTGATTGGCACTGAAGCATTATCATTCCCGTTTGTAAGTTTTCTTTTGCTGTATTCAAAGCGTTGAAATGAAAGGAAATATATACTGTCCAACTCGAGACAGATAAGAACTGGCCAGTTAGGTTCGACGAACTTTGATCGTAATGTAGGGCAGCATTTTGAGGGGCTGCAATGGAAGATTTGGTATGAACGTACTAGACGAGCATTTAGATCATCTGCAAATGTACGGCGTGGTCCGTAAATGGCCCTCTGGTATTCATCCTCTGTAAGAAATAAAGTAGAATGTGTGTGAAATGAAATCCTTCGTTCATTGCAATTTATTCAAAATAATAAGTCAGTAACATTCCTCTGATTTCTCTACAAAAATAACCTTTAAGCCCACTATAAATAC